ATTCGATTCAAAGATAGCTTGGAAATTAATACACAAAATAATGTTTATTGTACCAAATTATGCTACAATTATAGTAGGTACGCAAAAAATATAAAGGCACAGATCTTTAAATTGTGTTACAGTTGGTAACACTGCTTGACACAAAGTTTGAGAAAGAGAAACAACATCGTAAGATCGTAAGGTAAATCTAGGGATTGTATTTCTTGCAACTCAGGCGTACCATAATTATTACAAGATACAAGATGTAGACAATTAATGCAGAAATTTAATTCATTTAAAAAAAAATGGTTAGAACGGCGTTAATGATTTATATGTATTAATTTATTATTTTTATTTGAAAAATAAGCCAGAACTATTTTGTTTTTTCATGGCAACTACGACTTGGTAAGGAAATATAATTACGTTTTTTAAATGCAAATATTTCGGAGACTGCTAAACCAAATGTCAATATCAATATATTTTTGAATTCAGGGAAAAAAGATCTATTAATTTTTGTTATTAAATTCAGGGCGTTCCGTTGAAGATTTGCCAAGTATGTAAACTAACTTTGCGATATTCATTTGTTATTTAACGTAACATTTTCTGGCGATTTACATGGGTCAAACCCTACAAGTTTTTTCCTATCTCCTATCTCCTATAATAAACTGAGTAGGCGCCGTCTAAATATACGGAATAACCCTTGTGGGATATAGCATAGATACAATAATGACCATTTTTGCTTTTGCTGTCAAAATGACAAGAATAGTGTTAACCGGAAGTAAGGTTAGTTGTCCATAAAGGCAGCTTTAGAAATTGTTGTCAACGGAATAATAAGTCGTTCGATTGTACCTATTTTATAAATTTTATTTATTATTTTATTTATTACCCAAAATCCCACCTCTTAAAATCATATTTATGTAAGTATGTAATACATATACATACTATGTATATTTAGTATGTGAAAACACTTGTAGTTTATTGTTTACAATTATTCTTTTCTTTTTTTCATGGTTTTACTAGTGGAGCCCTATTTTCATTGTTCAACTAATGTAACAATAAAAACTTTGTTCATTTTTGTCGAGCGTATTCTGTCCTAATTCCAAGTGAGAGTGGAACAAAATACACTTACCGGCAAAAAGACGGCCACCAGAAATTGGCCACAATTTTAATTTGATTTAAGTTGATTTTCTTGCAAAGCACTCATCTGATTATGATGATTTTTTTAAATTGTAGGTTGACTCTTTATATGCGATGCTATGGTAGGAATTTGTATTCTGATTTTAATTTAAGAAGGGTGCAAAAATTTTTTTTCCGAAATTTGTGAAACCCTGTGGGGTGCATCAGCAATAAGAACGGATGTCAATTAGAATAATATTGTAGTACTTACTATCTTTTTCAAACATATTGTTCTTTTATTCACGTTATTATCTCTGTTATTAACGAAGATACAGTTAATTTTTTTATCTGGACTCGTGTTTTTTTGTTAGGTTGGTGGCTTATGCCAGTTTGACTTAGTATATACTAATATTTTTAGTATTTAAAAATGGTACTTCTGCTAAAGAATTTAATTAAATACTTTGACACTGTCAAATTGATTATAATATTTATTATTGATAATTTACTTGTCAATTATAAATAAAAAGATAATTATGCCAAAAATGGTACTTCTGCTAAAGAATTTAATTAAATACTTTGACACTGTCAAATTGACAATAATATTTATTATTGATAATATACTTGTCAATTATAAATAAAAAGATAATTATGCCAAAAATAATAGCAACGAATTCGAATGTAAAAGTCCTTTTGAGGGCAAAACTTCATTTTGATGAAATTATGCCAAATGCCACAATGGAAGAAAAAGTACATCGCCTTATGGACAGTTTTGGAGTAAAAAAGTAACGAATTTGGTTTTATAAATATTACATCACACATTATTTTCACATTATTCACCATTGGACATTTACGTTCACAAAAAATTTTAATTTTTTTTATATAAATTCTTTTCAAAGCGAAGATTATTATCCGCTAAGAATACTTTCTCTTCTGGGCCGTAAAGCAACCTATATTTAACTACTTTTTTATGATTTTACTCATCCAAGCAGCACCAAAGCCAAATTAATTGCATTTTTAACTACGAATTTCGACAACTCAAGTTGACAACTGCACAATGTAACCTACAATAATTTATACATAACCACAATTAGATTTATAACTAGCTTAGTTTGTTTTAATCAATGCGACCAACTTGACAACTGTATTTACCAACCAAAATCCTAAATTTGCAACGTTGCCGCAGTCCAGATAAAAAACGTGAACTTTACACTGTTTTAAAGCCAACGCCTCAGATATATCTGAGTTTCTGATACGAACACTTTATAAAGTGTTCGTATCAGAAACATAACGTTGACTTCTACCATCTTAAATTTATGCCAAAATACGGGAGATAACGGTATTTTTTATTTAGCACCTTTTGAGAACTTTTACTGTCATATTTCAAAATAATCCGTTCCAGCGTATGTCGACAATTATTTCTTTTTACATGCGAAGACTTTATTCGGTGCGTTTGCTTTAAAACAGTGTATATATCAGAGAAATTAACGCCAATAAAAAATAAAATATCCAGAAAAGATACATGCGACAAAGATTCACAAATTTCGAAAATACACTGTATACAGGGTGTTTCTTTTAACTTGAGACAGCTCAATATCTCGAGAAATACGCATTTCACGGAAAAATGTCTTAAATAAAAGGTTAATGTGACTAAAGGGGACATTATTTGGTGCTACCGCTAGCCACCCCCTACCCCTGAAACGGGGGGTAACTTTGGAAAGTCAAATGGAATGACCCGATTTTTTTCACAGAGTTTCGTAGTAGGTACATAAAAAAATAAATAACTTTTATTTAAAACTTTTTTCAATTTATCAACAGATGTCGCTGTAATTCAAAATTTAAGAAAAATGAGTTTCCTTGTAAAATGTATTAGGTATTTGAAACGTTTGAAAAACAAAAATTAACATTAACAACAATAGTCGGCTATGAAAACAATGTATAACAAATGTTCGAAATGTCGTCATTCCATTTCAACACATTTTTGAATGCGGGTAATGAATTCTGGCACACAACGCGCCAACATGTCGGGCGGTATCGCCGCACAGGCGTTCCTGATCCGCTCCACCATGTCCTCCCAAGTTGTAGGAATTGCAGCGTAAACTTTTTCTTTCAAGTAACCCCACTGGAAGAAGTCTGGTGGCGTAAGATCAGGTGATCGAGCAGGCCAAATTACTGGACCACGTCTACCGATCCACCGCGGTGCACAGGCCATTGAACTCCCGATCCAACACCTCTCGAGCAATTGCCGAATAATGTGCAGAACAACCATCTTGCTGGTACATGTTTTGGAGCCGTGCTATTGGTACATCCTCCAAAAGGTCCGTTAGATCGTTTTCTAGAAAATTCCGGTACTTTTCGCCATTTAATGCACCGTCAATAAAGAAGGGTCCGATTAATCGTTCGCTTAAGGTACCGCACCAAACGTTTACCGACCAGGGACGCTGGTGCTCCACTTGGTGTCGGAATGGAAGGACGACATTTCGAACATTTGTTATAAATTGTTTTCAGAGCCGACTATTGTTGATTTAATGTTAATTTTTGTTTTTCAAACGTTTCAAATAATACATTTTACAAGGAAACCCCTTTTTCTTAAATTTTTCTTAAATTTTGAATTTTGATAAATTGAAAAAAACTTTCAAATAAAAGTTATTCATTTTTTTATGTACTACCAAAATCTGTGAAAAAAATCGGGTCATCCCTTTTGACTTTCTAAAGTTACCCCCCGTTTCACACTTAAGGAGGGGTAGGGGGTGGCTAGCGGTAGCACCAAATAATGTCCCCTTTGGTCACATTAACCTTTTATGTAAGACATTTTTCCGTGAAATGCATATTTCTTGAGATATTGAGCTGTCTCAAGTTAAAAGAAACACCCTGTATGCACATCGCTAAATAAATATTAAATCTAGCAAATTTAATTGTTGAATCAACCATACTGATATTTCTTTGGCGCCATAATGTTCGCATATATGAATATCAAAGTGGCAAACGAGGGACCTAATTGCTGCTGTGAAGTTTACTTAAGTCTACGAACTTTACTTTCTCACTTGAAACTAAAATAAAAGGCACTGAATAAACTTTGTATGAAGGGGAGTTCCAAGATCAATATGTATCTGTAGACTAGTAAAGTTTTTTTGTTTTCAGTTAATGCTTTGGATTTATTGAAATTTGTCTTCTTATGTCATGAAAAAAAGTCTAAAAAAATATGTAGAATGTATAATATAATTATAAAGGTGTATTTAAGGTATAAAACCAAACCTATAAGTTTGTTACAAAGTAATCATAATTAAATACATTAAGTAAAATTGTAATTGTAAGAAAACTTTTCCAAACTCGTATAACAAAGTTTTGACTTATAATACAATTATTCCCAAGTTTTGTAGAATTAATAATATGAATTGTAAAGCCCACATTTTTATTGGAGACACTTAAATTAAATATTTTTATTTCCCTAAATCAATATCAAATACTGAAATGTCAGAGACAATTTTCTGTATAAGGCAACAAGATAAAATAATCTTATCTATTGATTTTGTTCTTTTATTCCAATAAAAAGCTTTCTGTTAAAAAATAAAATATTCAACCATAGCATTAGAGTTAAAACGTACTAATTACAAAATTTTTAAACTTAAAGCTGTTAAATGTGTTGAAATTCGCTTTTGCTTTGAACTTTTCTTAATGGGAAATGAACGGTTAATGCTTTTGATGTTACAAATTTGTAAAAGTAAAAAATGTTTAATACCAAAATTAGTTTTTAATTTAAAATGATTTTTACTGCACTAAATGCATTTGAATTAGGTGTTTTTAGATCGTTAGTATTACAGAAATTTTAATTAAATTGGTTTTGAGAAACGTTAAGTGTTTATAAAGCTAAAAATACTACATATTTTTACCAGATGTAATAAACTTACCTAACATAATATAATGTCATCAAAGCCTATCGAAGGTTCCATTTAATATTAGAACACTTTTTATTAAAAAACACTTTTTTTAAAGCGTCCAGTTCGGGTTTTATTCACTAAAATAAAGTCTAAAATTAAAATGTTTACTATATAACTGTGTAAAAATAATATAACATGGAATAATTAATGATAAACATTTGGGTTGGTTTTTTAAGGTTTATAAAAATGCCAGTCACTTTTTTATACAACTATAGTGGTAAAATTAGATCAATATATAATAATTTATAAAATGACAGACATATTTATAATTATTTTTATCACAAAATCGGTAAATAAGGAAAAAAGAAAATTTTGCTACGTCAGAGTCTTAAATATAAGACGTCCTTTTAAGGATTATAATTAAATATTAACTCACCCACAAAGTTCATTTTTGAATCATTTCTACAAAACAATTTCACAACTTTTATAAAACCGTAAATATTTATACGACAAACAACCGTTTGTGCTATTTTTAAATGAACTTTCCCATTTAGTATATACAGTAAAACAAAAACTGAAAAATTATTCGATAAAAAATATTCAATGCACAACTTTTAATGATTTTAATGTTTCCAGGTGTACATAGGTGTATAGTTTTTTTATATATATATATAGATGTGTAGTTATTTTCAGGATTTTAATAATTGTTGATTCGTTTGGGCTGAAACTCTTAACATGCTGTCGTCCGCTGAAAGCGCACTGAAAGACTGAAATTTCAGTGGGTAGGCGCGCACGCGTCATATATCGATGTGGATTTTAAAACCGCTCTGAAGACCCACAATGGGGCCACTGAGAAATGATTTTCAGAATTTTTGTGATTTCTGTGTTTTTTAGTGATATTCTATTTATTAATGATGTAACTAAGAATTTAAGAGCAAAGTTAGTTTAAATTTGGAAAAAGTTGTAAATATGTGTTTTAGTAATAAAATAAATGGAAAATATTTTGACCCAACAAATAATTTTGGTATGGATTTTGTTGATTTACAAATTAAAATAACTCCCAAAATGTATGCCATGATCGATTGTTATGTTTCCAAATTTTTACAAACGCACGGAGATGGATAAGGAAGTTATTCTGAGCAGGCATTTAAAGCTGCCCATGGGCGTGCACGCTCACTGGAAAATTTTTGGGTCCGCCACAAGTTGGGTAAAGATCATCCAGAATATCCAAAATGTTTAGTTGCTGCAATTATATAATTTAAATTGTATTTTATTACACTATACATTGCATTTATAATTTTATATTTTTAGTGAGTAAAAGGTTTGTTTCTAAGAATTGTTTTAATTAAAATAAATTAGATTTTACTCTCTTAAAATGACTCGTTGTCACAGTAAAAAAGCAGTCACTTACAACTGAATCGGTGAGATTAAGAACATTCCAAAAGCTAAAATTTTGGTAAATTATTTCAGAAAATTAGTTCAAAATGCATTTTTGCGAGAATATTTCAACTAAACTGCGCATCACTCAATGTGTCGCGACCAAAAATTTCGTCCTTTTTCAAAACGACATAACTTTTTTGTTTCTTGAACGATTTTATTTTGGTTTGTGATGTCTGCTAGCCCCATTTTCTGGCAATTTATGCTATAGATATGAAGCTCACGGTTCTTCAAGTAAATTTACTACAGGGTGATATGTAAAACAGTGAAAAATTTCAATAACTTCATCCAAGCCCCGTTTGTAAAATAAATATTTTTTTCTCTTTTTAAACTTGAAAATAATGAAGTATTATGTCTTACCTTTAAACATTTTTCAAATTTTTCGAATTGGAATCTTAGCAACAAAAATATGATTTTTTTTTCAATGGAGTACATTTGATGCTTTTTTGTAGGCAATACACTCAGCCTTTTTAAGAACAAAAAGATAAGATGGTGAAAGATTGTTCCTTGAATAATTCTGAACAAGCGACAAGCAACAAACTTCCATTATTTTCAGAGGAACCTAAGCAAAGAACACTTTTTCAAAATTACATTTTGGTGAAAATTTTCGAAAACTAAACCTGAACCGATATTTACGTTCGTGACATGTTTTCTTCATATTTTTGACCTGATTGTGATTCAGTTGTCAAATTTAGGTTTCAGATAAAACCAAAATCACCAAGAATCAAAATTCGAAAACAATTCCTGTTTGTTAAATGTCTCAATAAAATCCGATTGCTGGATTTTACTGTTTTTTTTTTACTGTGTTTTGTATTTTTAGTACGTTATTATCATGTCACTGAATGATCAAATCAAGAATCAAGTGATGAAAATTAAATGGCAATAATTTGGTGTTGGTGGACGACAATGCCCGTCCGCATCGCGCTTATATCGTAAATGAGTATTTAAGGGACCATGATATTGAAAGAATGAATTGGCCACCTTTGTCTCCGGATATTAATCCTATTGAGCATGTGTGGATCAGGATGAAACTGAAGATGAAAGAAAGGAAAGGACGCATGAAAAATTTGGATGAATTGGTAAATTCGATTCAGGAAGAATGGGAATTTCTAAGGAACTTGACGTAGGGAATGCTCAGGAGGGTTAACGAATTATTACGGGTTAGGGGAGGGCGAAATATTGAAAGTTATTATTGTTATTGTTTGTTACATTTTTCTGTTGAATTTTTTAGTTTTTATTATGATTATATATCTTCGCATAAAATTTTCAAAAATAAACAAATAAATTTTGTATTTAACTTTATTACCAATTAGGTAGGTATTTATCAGTAATAAGTTATCACTAGTGCGCAATATAAATGTAATTTATGTAACATTATCCTAACCACTCAAATAAAAATGAATCCCCAAATGGCATTGGCAAAGGCATTCGAATTTTGATTCTTGGTGATTTTGGTTTCATCTAAAACTTAAATTTGACAACTGAATCACATCAGGAAGTCAAAATTATAAAGCAAACATGTCACGAAGGTAAATATCGGTTCAGGTTTAGTTTTCGCAAACTTTCTCCAAAATGTCATTTTGAAAAAGTGGTCTTTGCTTAGGTCCCTCTGAAAATAATGGAAGTTTGTTGCTTGTCGCTTGTTCAGAATTATTCAGCGCCGGATTTAGGGGGGGTCTTTGGGGGTCTATAGACCCGGGGCGCAAGCTTACAGGGGGCGCAAAATTTTTGACTGGTAATTTTTGTTTTTTACTACAACCTAAAGGGTTTTCCCCTTTTTTATTTTTCGTGTATTAATCAGTTTTAATAAAAAAATTATTTAAATTATAACCGTGATTGTTGCCATAGTATTATTATCTATGCATAGTATACGAAATACGTATTACGTAGGGCGCCCGACAAGTTGTTGGGCGACAAGAACTTTAGTTTGCAGAAATTGATTATTTCCACCGATGCGATTCATATGGGCGTAAAGGTTTTTTAATATAAGAATATTTTATTACACTACGAACAACTATTAATTTAAATTAGTTTAAAACTATAGTTATATACAGTACCAGTCATATATATATGTATGTATATATACAGTATAGGACCTATACTATACTATAGGTATTAGCCTATTGAAAGATGACATCAATATTGCGATAAACAAATTTGCTTCTCTAAAAGCACGCAAAGTTGAATTGGCAAAATGTTAATTTTCTTATTTAGGTATTTGTTTTTTATATAGTTTTTGTTTATGTTTTTAGGGTGGAAATATTTTTTCGACATTTTTTTTTATTTCGGAGCTCACATGAAACAATTTAAGTTTAAAGTATTCAAGTTTTAACTCAAAAAAAAAATAAACGTCGCTCAAAAAAATCAACTAAATTGGAAAAATAGTAGTGGTTACAAGATCAAAATTATTAAAAAAATCAAGAAATGTATTTCAAAAATATTGAGCGACCAATAATATTTTGACTTAAAAATGTATTATGTTTCTATACGACCTACAAAAAAAATAGTGAGAAGCCAAAGATTTTGAGAAAAAAGGTTGGTTTAAAAAAGTTTTGAGCGACGTCTAAAATTATTTATCTGTTGAAACTCAAATACTTATTTTTTTTTATTTGATCTCCAAAATCAAAAAAATTTTGAAAAAATACTATTCTAATGTTTATGGTTAAATAAAATCCTTTTGTTAAGAAGTGACATTTCTTTGAATTTATTGTATAGGTAGGGGCGGAAAATTTTTATTAGACCCGGGGCGCAAATTTTTATAATCCGGCGCTGGAATTATTCAAGGAACAATCTTTCACCATCTTATCTTTTTTATCTTAAAAAGGCTCAGTGTATTGCCTACAAAAAAGCATCAAATGTACTCTTTTGAAAAAAAAAATCATATTTTTGTTGCTAAGATTCCAATTCGAAAAATTTGAAAAACGTTTCAAGGTAAAACATAATACTTCATTATTTCAAAGTAAAACCGAGAAAAAAATATTTTTTTTACAAACGGGGCTTGGATGAAGTTATTGAAATTTTTCACTGTTTTACATATCACCCTGTAGTAAATTTACTTGAAGAACCGTGAGCTTCATATCTATAGCATGAATTGCCAGAGAAAGGGGCTAGCAGACATCACAAACCAAAATAAAATCGTTCAAAAAACAAAAAAGTTATGTCGTTTTGAAAAAGGAGGAAATTTTTGGTCGCGACACATTGACTGGTGCGCAGTTTATTTAATAAAATATTATACTCAGATTTTGTAAAATAATTTATATCTTCTTCAAAATAGCATTTCAAACTTAAATTGATTTTAGAAAATGATTTGTCAAAATAAAAATGTTGGACTTTTTGTTTATATAGTTTTCGGAGAAAATTAAACAGTATTTTGTTATGAGAACATAGATAATATAATAAATATACTGTTCCAGACCGGGCCGGTCACTTTTTTAAACAGTTTCTGAAATATCTGAAATTTGAATGCAAGGGAAGTGAAGAGTATACCAGGGTACTAATTAAATACATAATTTATTGGAAAATATAAGATTTATTGCAACTTTGAGCATTTTATACATTAAATATCTTAAAATAAAATAATATCACACATCAGTGGCGGCTGGTGGATTTTGGGTATACCGATATCTCAATTATTAAATATGGGACCCACACTAAATTTATATGAGTCTATAATGACATTAAATAAACAAGTTCTGCTCAAGCAGAATTTAAATTGAAGTTTGCGAAAAAAAGAACCGAAACATCGAACATGGAACTGACGACACGGTACTGAAGAATGGGATTCAAATTTGAGATTATTATTCGAAGTATTTTACTGATTTTTTTTTATTAGTGGATCCTACTTATCAACCAATCACATATAGCCTTATATAAATTACAATGAAATATATATACGTAAGAAAATAACTACTCACCACAGTACTGACATTTTGACTGGAACGTGCATTCACCACAACTTCGCCGCTTGCATTGTTTTCAAGATGACTGTCGTGCAAAAGGCAGGCTCTGTAGGTAATTTTTTACCAACACTTGAGTTAAAACGAGGACTTGACGTTTAAACTTCAATATTTTGCAGGAATTTTTAATTTTAACATTGGACACAGATCTGACGGGTAAAAGTGAGTATACAAAAATTATCAATTTTTTAAAAATTGCTATTATTCGAATCTATAATAAAATATGAAAAATACATTATTTAATGTTTTATAGTTTGTAGTGAAATTGAAAAATTTAAGATAAATTGAATATATTTCAAAATAAAATCACTCAAATTTTGATTCAGGAATTGTGTCACGCCAAGGTACTGA